GAATTTACTACGAAATTTTGTGATGAAAAGTGGAAGCTATGAACCTCTGAGAACCAGATAAGACCCTGACAGGATAGATGTAATTGAATAGATGTTAAGTCGATCACTATCAAATAAGCTTATCATCAACGTAAAATACCTTAAAGTCATTTAACCACGTAATCAAAACCTATTCTCATGATACTATTCATACAGTAGATTACTATCCATCGCCATACCTCCATCGCTGGAAAAAGTTAACTCAACTGAATCATCTACTTGCCTTCAATCGGGCGTTATCACGATCCACGACGCAAATGTTGCCGGTCGGTTGATGAATGGCCAAACCGGTGGGCCACACATCTCTCGAATCGGTCGGGACACGGGCATCGAACTCAAACTCGTTAGTCAACCCGTTCCATTGTGAGTCATTCAGGTCTGTGCCATTCGGCCTGGGTGTGGCATAGGAACTGCATCTGACCGTTTCAGTCTCTTTCCCATTTCCATTTGGCTGTAATCTAAAAGCAATTGAGGAGGAGAATTGGATTTCATCGAATAATGTAATAATAATAGTACATAGTACACAACTAGAAAACTTCGGTTTTGAATCCTGTCACATGTGGACGACAAACTTGAGACAGATCACATCAGCTATTTTCACGAATGCACACCACAGTGTACGTTCAAATCAGAAGCCGATTGGTCGATAAATAGCGCTGATGTTTGCACTAAAAGGGGGATCATTTCGAAATGGGTTATTTGCACTTTAGGTATTACACTGACGGAATAACGACAATAAGAATCATGCCGGTAAAATCAACCACATATGGTGTTCACAGCGTTGTTCTACTCGGAAACAAACACAAGATAATCAATCCAAAAGGCAGTCACAAATAACAATGATAAGTTTTATCCATTTGGCTACCACTTATCAGCTTTCTGTTGGAAATGATCCTTTATTGCCGCAATCTTTTAGACAGCTTGCATCGAGAGCGCTTTGGCACTGATTACTGTTTCCATCCAGTCTCTTGGTAACAAAATACAATATTGACAAAGAGAAACCATAGCTCATCGGGATAAACTGCTCATAGATCCATCTAATAAATTGAAACTATCAGTGATAAAAATAACAGCACCCAATCTCGGCAGCATATATTAAACAAAGCTTGTTACGTAACATTGGCGAAATTGCTCTCAACAGTGGTCGAGCATTTTCATCAGTCTCGACCCCCCGAAGCTGGAGTGATTACCGTTTTAAGAGGATCTCAGTGGTGTTCTTCGGTTGGATTAGGATATACCAATCTACTAGGGCGTGGTATCCCAAGCACACCATGATGAATTTCGAGCAAATGAACCAGTTAATCCCGGTGTGCTGGGGGCGTTTTACCCCTGAAAATAAATGTCGACCTCTACTCTGCTACCATTACTGTTTGATAAAAGCACCTCATTCTTCCAAGTACGTCAGATGGCTTCCATCTTGCAGCAGAATTCTCAGTAGACCTGATGAACACTCCCCTCTGGGTCAACTTTTAATATCCTTCTCTAGGGGAATAATTTTTACACTAAAATGCCTCCCGTGAAAAATATAATCAACAAAGTAAAATTCCGATGTGCTAACCTGACATATAATTAAGTTGATATGTTGATATGTTTACTTGTTTTCGTGGGCTGAGTCATCATGGATGCGGTGATTTCTATAGTAAATTGATGGAATTGCATGTGTTGAGTTTTCACTAGATTGGAAGTTGTTGCCGAAGAAGTGTGATTATGTTTTCTGTCATGCAACGAATACCCTAGAAACGATGAAGACACTAGATGGATTCCTCTTCCTATGCTGTCGGTGTAAGAAACCTTGTCTATTTGAACCGGCACCTTCTTCGATGAATCCAAAATATCGCTCCCTCTTTCTGCGAAGAAAATAGCCTATTTTGAGACCAGTTTCTGGCTGCGTTGAGGAAAGGGTGTGGGACTATTGGGATGAATCTCAGGAACAATATCGGTTTCACTTTTCGCCAGCGAACATCAAGGTGAATAGTAAAACATTTGTCAAGCATATAAGTGAGAGATGTCATATTGATTCACGTTACTTTTTATTATAGTAGATAATTATATCCACTTTCTCACCTTCTGATTACGATTTCCTATATGGGGGAGTTCACGCTACTCGTGAGTAGTGAGTATATAATTGTGATTTTCGGCCGAAGGGGAGGGACCCGTTCATTTCTATCGAATTATCATCGCCATACAATCCCGATGCACACATTCCTCTGGTGTATCCATATCACTTTCATTTGTCATGTGTTGCTAAAATATTATTTCATCGCTCATTGTGTTTCAAGCTAACGTCATCGATACATCACCCGCCCATCGATGATCGTCAATCATCCAGGAAACACGTATTGATTATCATGCACTCAGATCCCCGCATTAATTTCAAGATGTTTTCACCAAGGAAAGGTTCGTTTTGTTTTAAGTAAGGAGAAAATAGGTCTAACTTCCCTTTCAGCTGTGGGAATTTAACATTAGGCTGAATTCTACAAAGAGGAACGGTGAGATAAACCAAATTCCTTGTATCCTTGCATTCATCTGGAGACCAACGATCTTTGTTCTCAGTATCTCAGATGCGGATGCATCTCCGTTGGCTAACAAATAACTTGCTTCTCATTCGAGTTCATTTCAAACTGAACTTATGCAAATACCAAATGCTTCCTGTCATATATGACTGACGGTTAACTGGGAAAATGAAAATAATGAAGAACAAATGAGTGCCGTTTACAAAATGCTGGCCGCCTGATTGCGTCTCGTTGTACAGCTCCAGACGATTAGATGATGATTTATGTGATTTGTTCAGATAATTGAATTCTGTACTCGTTTTGGACTGAATTTGATTTGACAATCGGGTCCTAATCGATACTGATAACAGATAACATGTTTTGTTCTTCGATTATACTCACCCAGGAATCTTGTCTGTCATGTCACATTCCTTCTTTTCTTTATCAAACGGCCATTTCAGTGACTCGATACATTGACGTGGTGTCGTGTTCACCCCCGTGGACACAAAGGCATTGACAACGTCCGCAGAATGGTCAATTGTGCTTTCCATGGTTGAATGACAGACCATGTTGGGATCGCTCTTATCCTCACACTCCTGAGAGATAATCAGTTTCCCAAAAAGATGCACTTTGTCCGATTCATGATTGATATCTTGATCCAACGCGGACTCACCAGGAATGAATTCTGGCCGGATTTGGGCTATTTAAAGCGGGAGAATTCGGAATAGATAAGGGGAGACTCATGATTTCGTTCTCTCTCTACTGATTTGAAATGATAAATATACCATATTTCGCTTTTCGGTCCACAAAACAGAACCTATAAATAAGTATTGTAATGAGACCGATTTGTGGGAAATCTTGGACGGACCCAATAAAACAGAAAAGCTTAATCTGTCAAGCATTTAACCTAAAATATCTACTAATCGTGACCAAGATAGCACTAAGCAACGAGAATTGCATAAGATGACAGTATACAGCACGGTGATATTCATAAAACGGTCACATACATATATGGGTAATACGGCGGGGTCATTGACAATCTACAGTTTGTGTGCATGGGCGTGCCTTGAAATAAGTAACAGCAGCAGTCGCAGGAGTAACAGGTATGCAATTCTATGATTGGTTGGAATAAAAGAAGAAATATGTGAAGATTTTTTTGAAGCATATTAATTTTTTCATTTAAAACAAATAAGTTGATGACCTTGATTAGTCTAGGTCGAATGGAGGTCCCATATTCAAACACCAACACCACCGACGAACTTTCCCTACTTTCTGTACATCACATGGCGGCTGTTTGATTAACCGTTCCTGAAAATTGTTCTCGCTTTCGTGCGTTCCATGAAAGGAAGTATAAAATAACAGAAGAGAAACTGAATGCTTTTTTGCTAATCGAAGATTTTCACTACGCAGTTGAGTAAACTTCGACTGACTGACGCATGAACAGGTGAGTTGCTCATTACTAGTTACATACTTCTTTGACGCTCCAAAAGAGAAATCACGTATTCCCCGGGTTTGTACCCACATCGCGACATTTGTATGTTTATTGCAGCTGATACACCTCTTGGCCAATCGAACAGCTACAAGACAACAGTTTAAACGGATAACGCTTTGCCCATATCGTCTATGCACAACTGATACCGAGTTCCTAGTTCATCCGATTCGGTATGCTCGGTATTGTTCAGTTATTTTTGATAGGGACATCTATGTGACTCCAGTGAGTTTTATATGTACTCATTGAGTCCATCAGACGATGTTAAATGTACAAAAGGACACTTACTGATTACCCCACTACTGAGTGACCCCTGGCACATGCTCATCGAGCAAACTTAATCCTAGGAATGCACAGATTGCACGTCTGAACAAACGATCTGAATTTGGTCGGCAGTATGGATTGTTTTGTGTTGACTTCACCAATAAGCAAATCATGGTTTCTCTTGGGATCAGCCTTTCTCTTATTATTTATTTATATTCTTTTCTTCTAATCAGCACCGATCAGTGAATAAAGTGCGTCTGTTTTTGAGCATCGTTGTCCATTTGACTACACTCTGATCATCACCCGATTTGTAGTGGTTGCGTGAAGGACAGATACGAACACCCGCTTAAATTCCAAACTGCCATAAGTCAGTAATCTAAGGGTACTACGGGAATGAACAAAGAACAATGAAAATGGAATACCTAGAAGTATGGAGCAATCCGATTTCAAGAAAATCAATGAAGTACAAAACTTCATAGAGTGACATTAACGAAGTGGTCATCAAAAGGAATACTATGACTGAGCCAGAATAGCGGTATTTGAAAATAGGGATAACCAATCGGAGCAGCTCATTATAGAACGGTGGATATTGGTCAACGCAAAAGTTTGCCCAGTTTCACGGTCCAAAGAGAATAAGGTGAGATTATTAACGAAATTGGGCTAGCAAGGTGTATACTTATAAGTTCATCAAAATAAATGGCCAAGAAAATACAAAGCAACCCGTCGTCAAGGTAGTAGATGGGATGAAAGGGGTGGGGTGGATAAACAGTCTATGAAAGGCAGTTGACATAACGCTTGAGAGATCTGCATGGCCTGGAAAAGAACAGTAACCAAAAAATCCAGGAGATGAGGAACTAATAAATGAGTGCAACATCCGGTAGGCAGATAGTCAATCAAATTTCCAGGTGGCATACAGTTTGAGGTGTGTATGGACGGTGATGGCCAAGTGATTGGGTCAAAAATTGTGACCCTGAAGTCCCAGGTTCAAACAGCTCCACCGCCGCCCGTGTTCCCCATTTCTGAATTTCCCCCGACATTCTTTGTATGGGTGCAGACCCCTTCCTGAAAGCTGACTGTACATTTGTATATTCAATAAATAAAAATGGATGTACAAAGACATAAAGTATACGGAGAGACATATTGCCGTTTCAGATCACACTGTACCAAAAGGGTTGACTCAGAATGTAGAAAATCTTGGACTAAATTTGCTTGATACGGTAGAACATAGTGTATGAGAGGGTTACTGGTAATGATGATGACAATGATTACAAATGGCTCAACCACCAGGAGGGGAAAGTAGTACTGTTCAGTGTGTCCTATAGTAAGAATCTATTCAGCTAGATCGACCGAACTAAAGCAATTTACCCAAACAGATCTCGGACCGAATCACTGATAAGAAAACTAGAGCAAAGCATTCCACATGAAATGCACTTATCAAACTTAGGTAATAGAAAACACAAAAGATAATTCACCTCGTAACAGCTTAAATTCCTGTTTTTCCAGTTTCTCCAGTTGTTGAACAACCTGCTTCGAACAAGTCAGAATTTCTTCCGCTCTGTGAAAAGAATACGAAGAATTTAATAGTGACAAGGAGTGAATAAATTGTTCTCAGCATTCGGAAATTGCTATTTCACGTGCTTCGCTTTCAGGTTGATCTCTGGTCAAAGGGTTTTATAAATCATACAGTATCCCAAAAAGGAGCTTGAGGCTGTACATGCGGGTTTCACGCATTTTATTGAACGTTCGATCATTACGATACTATCTATAGATAAACCTTTGTCGGACGATAAGTTTACGGTTTTATTTAGGAACTAAGCATGATGTATTTAAAGGTGATAGCACTTTTACCTGTGTCTTCACAGGGAGACCAGGGAACCGAAAATATCCGATAGTTTCTTATAGTCTAAACAAAGAAGTGATTGAGGAAGAAATATTAAAAATCTTGCTTTCTTTTAAACTGAGTCCCTTATCTGCGTGCTTCAGAGTCCTAATTAATTTGAACGACATTGAATAAACAAGCATTATGACACCTGAAATGATAGAATGCCTTTTCTTGGTAGGTCGGTTGACATTTGGTGTGTGATGGACCGAATTCTGGCTTGTTATTGTATCCCGGATTCCGAATTATTTGACTGAAAATCGTTTAATCCTGAAATAACACAGTAAAATGAGTAAAACCGGACATAATTAAGAGCGGGACTAATCTTTCGCTTTGACTCTTCGGGAAGTCAACTGCAAACTCTGTCCTAGTTGGACTGAGCACCACTAACCGGTGGTGACACTGTCGGATTAAAATGCACACTGTTATTGAAGTGGTGGAGCAGGAGTGGTTGCAAATCACTGAATAAGCGCATAACAAAAGCTTTTTCGTTTTCTGTTTTGATTTTAACAATAGGTTTTCATAGATATGCTCTTCACCACTGATCTATGCTATCCCGGTCACAGTTTTACCTCAACCGATCCCTTTTGGTCAGGGTTGAAATAAGTGAGTGAAAACCCTCGATCTGCTGGACTAATTCGGTGGCTTTCAGATTTGGTTTCCACTAATGCAACGCATCTGAATAAGCATCTCCTAACCATTACTGTTCAGTTCCTCGAGCAATAAGTTGTTGAACATTGCAGAATCGTACATCTCTCTTATCCATGTTAAAATATACCATTCTGGTAGAGTGAACATGAATTCCTATGCTTCCTGAATAAATGTTTGATTCGATGAACTGACGATCGTCACGGAAGACAAATGCCAAAACATTCCGTGATATCTGTATTTTCAGGTTAATGGAACTCACCTTCCATGAGTATGTATGGCTGTGGTGTACCTACTTGCCACCTCGCACTGAGCGATCAACGGACCCAAAGGTCGAATGTATCGATCCAAATTGGAAAGCTCAGTGTTGATCTGTTCCGTGAGCTGCTGTTTCATCCCCTCGGCCAGCTGGGCGATACGACGATGTAGCTCCTCTGCTCGCGCATCTATCCGTTCGGATAAAGTCGAGTGCAGCTCGGTCAGCTCAAACCCATATGCCGTCAGACTTCGTACATAATCCTATTCGGCAGGGATACATAGATCAACATAACTAATTAAAACAAAAATCAAAATCAAAGTCCTAAACAATGACCTCACCTCCACGTGAGTGATAAAAAAGCTTTATCTTTTTGTGATTCTGAATGGCTTGATCAAAACGAAGCAAAGTAGAGCGTTGAAAAATGACAGATATGGGGAATCGAAAACAGATATCATACACAAGAGAAGCTTATTATTAAAGAAGTCAGTTAGTTTCAATTTATTCTATTGAGTATGTTGATAAGTGTGTGTAATCGATTGTACTTATTGTAAAAAGTTAGGAATAAAATCTCCATTGAAACACATGGTCGTATTGGTAATCATTTGCCGCAGTCTCTGTTCGTCGAGACGTACAAAAAGGCTGAGAACCAGCTATTACAGGAGTGGAATGGAGGATTAAAGTTTATTAGATGAATTTGTCACGTAATTCAGGTATGAGCTGAGAAGATAGGAGGCACTGGATAGCTTCTTTGAACAGGTTGGGCCTCAAAAGAAGTGCAAATCCGTCGACTCGATTGGGGTCGAACCCGGTACTCAACATTTAGACACACATATGATGAAAAATATATTATCCACGTCGGGACAAGCACTGAAGTTCAGGATGATGCCTGGTAAGATTGCTCTCTCGAGTTTCCCCACAGCTATATACATATACATATACATACATACATACATGCATACATACCTGCCAATGTATCTGTTTCTCTGAGATCTCAAAATGACAACAGTTTAATTGTATATTGATGAGTTATCATCAGTTTTCGAATTAATAAATAATCTATCCTGAAGATCTGCAACATTTAGTTCTAGGTTGAATCCGTAGTTGAAAACGGGGATTTTGACCTGGCTCTTTCGGAATCTTAGTATTGTTTTAGCTTCCGGGTATACATCATTGTATAGCGTACTCGTAGTTTACGCATAAAATAGCCGGTTCATTTGAGAATGATCGACTTTTTCAATTTGTGTTATCTTTTGCATATATTCTGACATAGGTATAATATTTGTATCATCCGTTTTCCCCGTTTCATCAGCTCTCGTTATCCATTCGTTTCTCACTTGATTTTATTGAATATGCAATGATACAGCTTTTAGGAATAGGAAAGCAGCTAATTAGAGGACTGTGACGCATTAAACAGATAATGGGAAAAGCCGAATGGCGTTGGGATTAGAACGCACGTCCTCAAGGAAGTTCATCTCCGTTACCTCTACCACTTGACCACTACCGATCACCTCACAGTTAAAACAATAGAACAAAAATGCATCTCTCATTCTGCCGATTTTGAAATGGATTAAAATCCATGAAGTAAAGTTGTAACGTTGCCTTACTCCAGCACAGTAATCAAGTCCTGTTGCAACTTGCCTCGATCAGCACTTTGCGACCTAGAACTTTGTCCAATCTACTGACCATCTCCGACTTGACTGCGTGCACGGCTTGCTCTAGCGGTACAACCAAATGTTGCACATGCCTCTGGTTTGGCCCTGTAGAGGAGAACTGTCCACTGCATTGAGCACACAACATCTGGCGGCATTGTTTGCAGTAAGCACAGGCTGGTGGAGCCGGACAGTCCAGCACAGAGTTCTCGGATCCATTCAACCCGGAGGGTAGGTTATCCACAAGTTTGGTCAGCGTTTGTGCCGAGTCGATGGCCTGATCCTCGAACACATGATCAGAACACGAGGCCTGAGGAGCTTTGTGTACTTTCGGCAGGCATTCGGCGGATACTATATCCTTTCGGTTGGGAAAGTGAACACAGAAAGCGTGTTCGAATAATAAGGTAAGCACGTGGTATGAATATTGGGAATGAAACTCTCAGTAACTGGTGAGTAGTATTAGAAGATTGTCAATCCGTAAAACTTCATTTTGGCATTAAATCGACCACATCCACGATGAGTAGTCAATCATGTCTCCAATTCTTTCCTATCAGACAGACAAAATGAAGCAACGGACCATCTACCTGATTTGATTTGATTCAAATTTGCATCTGAACGTATTTAGCACAATAAATCTGGTTTTCGATGTGAGTTCTCTTACACAGTCTAGACCTTAAGTCCTGAAAATATACTACTGGCCTAGGAAATAGCCAGCGAAAGTAAAGCTTTCAAAAGCTGATAATTTATTAACTAGTTTCACAGGAGAGTGGGAGGAGGAGAGACAAAATATTTTAATCAACGAAATAAAAAAGAAACTGGTAAACGAACAGTCCACTGTCAATTCAGAATCTGCAGATGTGATATTTACTCCGACCTGATTAGGTGGAAAGGTAGAAGCTTCAGCGAGGAACGTTTAAAACTAATCCATATGTTTGAAAATTGGGATAGCGAAAGAAAAACTTACAATCACCCAGTAAAACTGCCTTATTTCTTTCACGAATCTCTTATTACATCGTATACCCGGAGGGCATCACTTGGAGAACTGTGAACAGGAAACCAGTGTGGATAAAACAGTATGTGAAGTTCAATGGTTTCGTGCCTCGAACCATAAAAGAGGTATCTGATTGCATGCCCAGCTATGCGCTAACGGTGAATTTAGCCAGTCAGTGTTTTAGAAGAGCATAGTGAACAAAATCATATCTCTTTTATCGAGAATGGCTAGTCAGACTTATTGACTAGAAAAAGCTTTTTATGGACATTCAGCGACTTGTTAATGAGTTTCAATCAAGATCAAATGAATCATACCTGATTCTTGGAGGATAAAAAAATGAAGCGCAATGATGAGAACTCACAAGTGCTTTGAGAATAAGAAGTCGCAGAGTGCTTGCTCAGCTTTCGCAAGGTTGTATGCTAGTGATTGAATGGCAGTCGTGTCAATTTCTAACTGGCGATTAATCGATCAATTAGGTGATCTAACTGATCAGATCAGCAATACCCTTATCTGAGTGTGGATGTAATGTGAACATAGAACTGACCCCCAGCATATTGAGCCCAGGAACCGGTAGATTTAGTTCTGAAAATCGAATGTCAATGGGTCCTGTCATGGCTGGATTTCCCAATTGAGGAACTCTACACTGATTACTGCACTATTTTGTGGCATTCATAATCCGTCAGAGATGAACTGGCAACCATTGAAAGCGCTTGTTTACTCCTCGCCGTTTATCACTGTCAATATCAACACAGGCGTGCTAAAGTCTGGCGGGGAGGTTATTCAATTATGATTCAATCTTATCACCAACAAGCTAATTACGATTTATCGTAGCAAGCCGAAACACTGAACACCCCTATGCAGGTCCAAGTTACTATCCCGTCGTTTACTTTGCGTTGACCACGAACGATGAAACTCAGTCAGGTACGACCCATGTATTCAGCAATCTGGGACGACAAGGTCACCATTTACAGCAAAGTTCCTGCGATAGCTTTCGGCGAACTGAGCAAGTTCCAGTTTTAATCTCCAAACCCGACACGGTGTTATTCGATCACCGGTTGGCAATGATTATACTATTTCTTATTGTTGATTGGTGTCTAGTGGTGTGATAACGCTACCTACTCCTGTTTTGCACAGCAGAAATATTGTGGGTTTTTTTATAGATCTGCGCCGCTCAGTGAAAGATAGCCTGTTGCTCTTGCAAGCTGGCCGAGGGTCACGTTCCCCGAAGCCGCTAACTCATTCAGTCCCTGAGGGAACCCGACTGATTTTCCTCGAAGACCAATGAAACTATCCCGTGTCATTTAATTACCAATATCGGATTTTCACCGCAGAAAATTGTCCAAGAGGATTGTTAGGCAGTTCAGAATGGACAATAGCTACGCGGGGACATAAATTAGGGTGACGGGACTGTCCTGTTGATATCGCGCATAGGTTGGTCACGTCGAATGTGTACAAACAGACAGAGCACGGTCGCAAATATCCTGAGCTACTTCTTGACTATAAAGTGGTTTTCTTCCTTAGTGTTGTATTGTATTGTACTTTGTGTAACTTTTGCAAGCACTGGAGCTCACATTTCAGTTAAAAATCATACACGCCAACCGCCACAAAGTACATAATCAACGGGAGAAAATTTTAACAAACATGGGGGCATTTCATAATCAAAGGTAAAGACAAAGTTTACTTATTGCTCTCTCTCCTTGTTTGTAAGTAAACGAGGCAGATACGGTATAGGTGAATTGCGGTAAACGTTAATTCGAGATAAAATTTGGCGGAAATGGTAGCGTGGGGAATGATGCGAACCCTAGATAAAAAATTGTTATTAATCACTGTGTAGTCTGTCGGATATGGAGAGCGAGCAAAACTATA